GTATTTTCTGTTGGAAATTGGGGTTCTGTGTGGGAAGTTTGGCCCAATTCTATCATTGGTGGGGTTCAGAATGTCCTTGATGGTAAGTGAACTATAAATCCCAGCAACTATAACTCCCAAATGCCAAGGTCTATTTTCCTCAAACTCCACCAGTGTTCACATTTGGGAATGTTGAGTATCCACTCTGAGAATTTCCGGGGGGGGGGCTGAAGCCCCTCAAGCCCCCCCCCCCCCGCTACATGCCTGCCTGGAGGGGTCGTGAGGGGGTGTCAGAAGGTCACCAAATACCATCAGAAAATACAGTATTTTCTGTTGGTCATGGGGGTTCTGTATGGCAAGTTTGGCCCAATTCTATCGTGGGTGGAGTTCTGAATGCTCTTTGATTGTAGGTGAACTATAAATCCCAGCAACTACAACTCCTAAATGTTAAGGTCTATTTTCCCCAAACTCTACCAGTGTTCACATTTGAGTATCCATGCCAAGTTTGGTCCAGATCCATCATTGTTTGAGTCCACAGTGCTCTCTGGATATAAGTGAACTACAACTCCAAAACTCAAGGTCAATGCCCACCAAACCCTTCCAGTATTTTCTGATGGTCATGGGAGTTCTGTGTGCCAAGTCTGGTTCAATTCCAACATTGGTGGAGTTCAGAATGCTCTTTGATTGTAGGTGAACTATAAATCCCAGCAACCACAACTCCCAAATGACAAAATCAATCCCTCCTACCAGTATTCAAAACTGGGCATATTGGGTATTTGTGCTAAATTGGGTCCAGTGAATGAAAATACATCCTGCATATCAGATATTTATATCACAATTCATAACAATAGCAAAATGACAATTCTGAAGTAGCAACAAAAATAATTTTCTGGTTAGGGGTCACCACAACATGAGAACTGTATTAAGGGGTCACGGCATTAGGACGGTTGAGAATCACTGTTGTAGTATCTTGTATGGGAAGCAGTGCTGCTAGGCAGATACAGCAATCTAAGAGCTTATTTTACTGTCAAAGTGCAAATGGGAGAGTCATAAAAGAGCTTTCTAGGATCTGTACGAGGGTTGAATGAAAAGTAATGCCTTCACCTTCGTAACTCCTCAACAGATGGCAGTACTGGCTTGTTCAGTAGACTCTCCCCTACAGTTCCATTTTGGCGGGAAGCCTTAGCATTGAACTGTTGTGTTGTTAAAGTGCGGAGTATGGAACCCTGCGCAGACTGTCAGTCAGTGCGACTTAAGCAACGTGCAGTTATTGAATTCTTGACAGCGGAAGGTGTCACCTCAACATCTTTAAACTTACTCACTCAACAACGCACAGTACTCACATCAACACAATCACCATAAACAGCTTGCATTCTCCTTTGCGTTCAATGCTGAATCTCCTTTGCATTCAATGCTAAGGCTTCCCAGAATTACAGTTGTGAAGTAGCAGCAAAAATAATTTAATGGTTGGGAGTCACCACAACATGAGGAACTGTATTAAGGGTTCACGGCATTGGGAAGGTTGAGAACCATTGGCATAGACCAATTAGATGGACAATGTATTAACACTAATCAAAATGTGCTTTTTGGATTTCTGTAAAACAATAAAAGCTTGGGGTTGCAGCAGGCTTTTCATGCCTAAAGTGCATTAAGCATTAAGAAGGTTGAGAAACACTGATATAGACCAAAGCTTTTACTATAGTAAGAGTGTATCTACACTACTCAATGCTAGCCAAAAGCTTGGTTCTGCAACCATGTTTTTAGTTTTTTTCCTGAAGGTTAGGAGGGAGGGGGGGCTGATCTAATTTTTTGGGGGGAGGGAGTTCCATAGACGAGAGGCCAGCACTGAGAAGGCCCTGCCTCTTGTCCCCACCATTCACACCTACTCGCAAGGTATTTATCTCGCATGCATTTCAAAAGGTAATAAGAGAAAATGTGAGGGTTTGGAGGAGAGAAGTAAACAGTAACACTTGAATTGCAAGAAATCCTGTTCTACCTAAAACCCCTCTTGCAAAGCAGAGAGGCCTTGAAACTGGTTGAAATGGTTTGAGAGATTGGCTAACTTTTGACAGTGCAAGGGCTGGCAAGTGATACACAAGCTGCACAGTAAGATTTGGGGAGCAAATGCACACTAGCTATTCCTTCTAATGTGTTTTATTAGGTTTTGGAGATGGCAGAAGGCAAAATGGATTTCTCTGGGTGGAAGCGTATGTCTGTTTATGCAGTACAATGGCAAAGCATTAAGGAATCCTTTCCGTGGAGCCAAGCATTGCCTTGGCCTGATGGTGCATAATGCATTTCCCCAAATCCCTGGCTGACCTCACCCGCTCTTGTTAATTTGATGAATCTGACTTAGCATCTCATCGTGGATCTTTTCTGTCTGGTCTTGCCTGCCTGCAGAGGTCTATACACTACAGAATTAAAGTAGTTTGACACCACATTAACTACCATCGGATTCTGGGATTTGTGTGTTTGTGAGAGATTGACCCTTCTCTATCTTCCATAGGATTGAGTCATGGCATTTAAAATGGTATTGAACTGTGATAACTAGGCAATGTAGGTGGAATATCACTCTTTCTGGTCCTTGCTGGTTACTTGATCATAGAAATGTAGAGATGGAAGGGAATACGAATTTCAACTCTGACTGCCATGTATGGGCACACAATTAAAACCTTCCAAAAAGATGTCCATTGGAAGTGTTGTTGAAGGCTTTCATGGCTGGAATCCTTTGGATTGCTGTGAGTTTTCTGGGCTGTTTGGCTATGCTCCAGAAGCATTCTCTCCTGATGTTTCACCCACATCTGTGGCAGGCACCCTCAGAGATTTGTGGTCTGTTGGAAACTAGGCAAGTGAGGTTTATATATCTGTGGAATGTCCAGGGTCTGGCGCCCCGCCCTCCTTCTCTCGTGGCCGCACACACCGCGCCACCAACGCCGTGCCGTTGGCTAGCTGATTAGAGCATAGCACACCTCTTTGCCCCCGTTTCCCCGCCTGGGGTTTGCGCTGGGGGCCTCCGTTTTGGCGTTGCAAACTATCCATTTGCTCCGACAAGCGTTCATTTTCTTCACCCCTTCCGCATCTCTCTACTCCCCTTGCCCCGTTTCAACAGAGCCCCTCCCCACCCTCGAGGCGCTCACCATAGATGTGGGTGCCACCATCTCTAGGATGATCGCCCTCACTTGCTATGGTCCCTGCCAACACACTGTCCATTGAACTCTTTGTTTCAAAACAGTCACCCAGCCGTCATCCGTGCGCGCACCTGCTCTTATATCCAGTCTACTTGCGGCCTTTCGTGGAATTCTTTTCTTGTTATTTGACCTTCCTCGCTTGCCTTGTGTTCCCTACACACATAGCAGGCGACCCTGCAGATAATAGGCCGTGGTTCTCAACCTTCCTAATACCGTGACCCCTTAATCCACTTCCTCATGTTGTGGTGACCCCCAACCATAAAATTATTTTTTTGCTACTTCATAACTGTAATTTTGCTACTGTTATGATACAATCAAAGAGATAGGCAGGATGCATTTCATTCACTGGACCAAATTTGGCACAAATACCCAATACACCTAAATTTGTATACTAATGGAGTTGGGGGATTGATTTTGTCACTTGGGAGTTGTAGTTGCTGGGATTTATAGTTCACCTACAATCAAAGAGCATTCTGAACTCCACCAATGATGGAATTGAACCAAACTTGGCACACAGAACTCCCATGACCAACAGAAAATACTGGAAGGGTTTGGTGGGCATTGACCTTGAGTTTGGGAGTTGTTAGTTCACCTACATCCAGAGAGCACTGTGGACTCAAACAGTGATGGATCTGGACCAAACTTGGCATGAATACTCAATATGCCCAAATGTGTGGGGAAAATAGACCTTGACATTTGGGAATTGTAGTTCCTGGGATTTATAGTTCACCTACAATCAAAGAGCATTCTGAACCCCACCAATGATAGAATTGGGCCAAACTTGGCACACAAAGGGAGCCCTCGGTGGTGCAGTGGGTTAAAGCACTGAGCTGCTTAGCTTGTTGATCGAAAGGTCGCAGGTTCGATTCCGGGGAGCGGCGTGAGCTTCCGCTGTCAGCCCTAGCTTCTGCCAACCTAGCAGTTCGAAAACATGCAAATGTGAGTAGATCAATAGGTACCGCTCCGGCGGGAAGGTAACGGCGCTCCATGCAGTCATGCCGGCCACATGACCTTGGAGGTGTCTACGGACAACGCTGGCTCTTCAGCTTAGAAATGGAGATGAGCACCACACCCCAGAGTCAGATATGACTGGACTTAATGTTAGGGGACTACCTCTACCTGGCACACAAAACTCCCATGACCAACAGAAAACACTGGAAGGGTTTGGTGGGCATTGAGTTTGGGAGCTGTAGTTCACCTACATCCAGAAAGCACTGTGGATTCAAACAGTGATGGATCTGGACCAAACTTGGCATGGATACTCAATATGCCCAAATGTGAACACTGGTGGAGTTTGTGGAAAATAAACTTTGACATTTGGGAATTGTAGTTCCTGGGATTATAGTTCACCTACAATCAAAAAGCATTCTGAACCCCACCAACGAGAGAATTGGGCCAGACTTCCCACACAGAACCCCCATGACCAACAGAAAATACTGTATTTTCTGATGGCCTTTAGCAATCCCTCTGACACCCCCTCGCAAGCCCCTCCCCAGAGGTCCCGACCCTCAGGTTGAGAAACTCTTTAGACTTCAACATAACATCCTTTCAGTTTATTGTAATATGTTGCCTGGGCTTGGCCCCATGTAAGTCGCTCCGAGTCCCCACTGGGGAGATGGTGGCGGGGTATAGATAAAGATTATTATTATTATTATTATTATTATTATTATTATTCAGTTGTGGAAAGATAATTGTAATATATTCATTTCTTACATGGTTCTCCCTATGGATTGAAATAGGAACAACATATTACAGTACAAGGGCAGTGTACGGCTTGAGAGATTTTTCATGCCATTCTCTCTCTTTTTAAAACCCTTCTTTGTGTTCCTGCAGTTTCATTGGCTCTTTGGGCACCATCATTGTCAAATGCAAAGACCTGCGGATCATTCAGCTGGACATCCCAGGCATGGAGGAGTCTTTGAACATAGCGAGCTCCATTGAGGTAAGACAGAGCTTGGAAACAATACTTTCCCAGAGTCCCCCCAGCCAACCTGTCCAATGAGTTTCACCTTTACGGATTTGATTATTCCTAGGTTTTATTGATATGTTCTGTCAAGTAATCTCTTAAATCCTCCAGGGCAACTCTTTGATTAACTTCTGCCAGAGCTGCACTGGATGACCTAGAAATTCAGATTAAAAAGTGTTTTTTTTTTCTTAATTAGCTTTTTACAAACACTTTCATGGGGGTCCTGCACCCTGAAGCCCAGCAGAGGTGACGGGATGACTGCACTTTTTTTTGGCTTCTGCTTAAATGGGACTTGGAAATGAACAAAAGGATCTGCAAAACCTGGAGGCAAACTGAATACGTTTTTGAATGTATGTCATGGCGATACCTGAAAGACACAGGGACTAGGCTGTTGTGTACCTCACAAAAGTTTGGTTTATGGTCAGGAAATGTTCAGACACTGCAATTCAAGAAACAAACCATGTTTCTATGTGAAATAAATTATATTGGGCAGGGAGTGTACCTGCTCAGTTTGTTGACACTGAAATGAGGTGTGAGCGGTGTTCTCAGTCCTGTGGCCACATGCAATCTGGCTCACCATGGGGCACACCCTCCAACATTGCATGCACACCATCACAGTTGATCCCTTTCTCCTACTGGAAGAGATTAGACAGCCTTCTCTTCTTCTTACTTCCTTGTTAGCCTCAGCAGGAAGGAGCCACATTGGAGAAATAAGTGCAGAGCCGTTTGCTAATGGGAAAAAAATAAGAGCACCTGTGGACCTGAGATATTTTGTTGGTGTAACATAGGAATTAAAGATTCAGCTGTATACTGATCTTTAATGAGCCTGACCAACTCCATTTTGAAAATAACTGACATCTCTCCACAACCTGCATTGTTTGCTAAGGTCTGATATTTATGAGTTGCTGTGAGTTTTCCAGGCTGCCTGGTCATGTTCCAGAAGCATTCTCTCCTGACATTTCACCCAAATCTATAGCAGGCATCCTCAGAGGTTGTGAGGTTTCTTGGAAACAAGGCAGGTGGGATTTATATATCTGTGGAATGCCCACAGTGGGAGAAAGAACGCTTGTCAGTTTGAGGCAAGTGTGAATGTTGCAATTGGCCATCTTGATTAGCATTGAATGGCCTTGCACCGGGACTGTGGCGCAGCTGGCTGGGAGTCAGCTACATTAAGATCACTACTGACCAAAAGGTCATGAGTTCGAAGCCAGCCCGAGTCAGAGTGAGCTTCTGACCAATTTGTGTAGCTTGCTGTCGACCTTTGCAGCCCAAAAGACAGTTGCATCTGTCAAGTAGGAAATTTAGGTACTGCTTATGCGGGGAGGCTAATTTATGACACCATAAAAATCTCCAGCAAGCATTCAAAGAATGAGGAAGTACTCCAGCAGTGTCACAAATAGATGGTGAAGCGACAGCTCCCCCGGTGGCCAGAATACCCTCATGAAAAAGCTGGAATGTTAAATAGCCTCTGTGTGTCTGTCTATATATGTTGTATGTCTATGTGTCTGTCTATATATGTTGTGTGTCTATACCCTGAGTCCCCTGCGGGGTGAGAAGGGCAGAAAATAAATACTGTAAATAAATAAATAAATAAAATAATTGCAGCTTCAAAGCCTGGCTGCTTCCTGCCTGGGGGGAATCCTTTGTTGGGAAGTGTGAGTTGTCCCCGATTGTTTCTTGTCTGGAATTCCCCTGTTTTCAGAGTGTTGTTCTTTATTTACTGTCCTGATTTTAGAATTTTTTAATACTGATTGCCAGATTTTCAAAGGAGGAGATCATTTTCATGGTCTCCTCCTTTCTGTTGAAATTGTCCACATTCTTGTTATGGATTTCAGTGGCTTCTCTGTGTAGTCTGACATGGTGGTTGTGAGAGTGGTCCAGCATTTCTGTGTTTTCAGATAACATGCTGTATCCAGTTTGATTCATCACAGCATATTTGAGAACACAAAAATTTTGGAACACTCTTACAACCACCATGTCCGACTCCACAGAAAAGACATTGAAATAATGTCCAGGGTGGGAGAAAGAACTCTTGTCCGCTGGAGGCAAGTGTGAATGTTGCAATTGGCCACCTTGATCAGCATTGAATGGCCTGGCAGGTTCAAAGCTCTGAAGTGTGGTTGCCTTCCTCCTCCATTCATGTTGCCATGCTGGTATGATTCTGCACTGTGTTATAAGATAATAAACATCCCAAGGTAGAATTCCTGACATTCTACTTTTGCCTTAACAGTTCCAGTTATGGAATGGCATTCTGTTTGTACTTTAGGCAATGAAGCCTGAGAAATGGCAAAATGGAGTTGTGGGCAGGAGAAAAGTCGGGGGTTCATTGGATTTGCTTTTTAAGAGAAGGTATGGTACCTTCAGTTCAAAAACATGCAAATGTGAGTAGAACAATACTCCCCGTTACCTTCCCGCTCCGGCGGGAAGGTAACGGCGCTCCATGCAGTCATGCCGTCCACATGATCTTGGAGGAATCTATGGACAACGCTGGCTCTTCGGCTTAGAAATGGAGATGAGCACCACACCCCAGAGTCAGACATGACTGGACTTAATGTCAGGGGACTACCTTTACCTTTACCTTACGGTACCTATATCCAATTGATGACACTCTCCTTGTGCACCTCTTTCCTTCCTTTAGGCACTATCTACCTTGGATTCCATCACTCTGATGTATCCTTTCTTTTATCGACCCATGTTTGAAGTTGTGGAAGATGGGTGGCATTCCTTCTTGCCTGAGCGGGAATTTGAGCTGCTCAGTTCAGTCGTAAGTCCAACACAAATATCCTTCCTTTTCTGAGCTCTGTCTCTGAACTTCTTTTATGAAAGGTAACGATAATTCTATTAATGTGTACTGTGCTGCTGAGTTTGTTTTAGTTTGCTGCATTTTTACTTCGTGATTTGTTCAAAACTGAATGCATGGCCTAAAATTGTGAAATAGAGTTGAAAGAAATAATACACTTTATTTGTATACCAGAGGGGAGCAGAAGACATTTCCATCTTGTCTTTACTAATAATATAATATAGTATATTGTATATTCATATAATATTTATAATACTATAATGTAATACAATATAATACTAGTAATAATAATTCAATATTATAATTATATATTTACATTACATGTAATATTACTAACAATATTACAATATAATGGTATAGTGCAATATAATAATATATACTGATATTGTACTATGCTAATACTATAATATATTGTATGAAAATATATATTGTAAGCCGCTCTGAGTCCCCTTCGGGGTGAGAAGGGCGGCATATAAATGCCGTAAATAAATAAATAAATACCATCCTATCTCCCTAAAGGGACTCAGGGTGGTTTCCAACATGTAGGCAAAACATTCAATTGCTGGGAAGAAACCATACAGACAATTACATCAAAATAACACAACCTAATTAAAAATAATAGACAAAATAACAACTGAAAACAACATAAGAACAAAAAAAATCTGCTAAAATACATTAAAGATAAAATATTAAAAACCCTTTTCATTTATGGTGCAGGTTCTTACCTACAAAGCCCTAAACGGTTTGGGACCATCCTACCTGCGTGACCACATCTCCGTTTATGAACCCACACGCTCACTTCGTTCATCCGGAGAGGCCCTGCTCGCGATTCCGCCTGCATCGCAAGCGCGATTGGTGGGGACGCGAGACAGGGCCTTTTCTGTGGTGGCCCCCCGACTCTGGAACACCCTCCCCAAAGATCTTAGACAGGCCCCTACGTTGGCAGTCTTTAGGAAGAACTTGAAGACCTGGCTGTTGCGATGTGCCTTCCCAGAATAGGAAACCTCCAACAACAAGTCCCAGAAGCACTTTATTAGCAATTAAGATTGTTGGCACACTGCACTTACCCTATAATCCCTATATATCACCTGTCACATCAGCACTTTTAATCTGTACCCATTACTCTGGCCCGGCCCAGTTTTATTGTGTCCTGGTGTATTGTTTTATTGCTGTTGTTTAATATTGCTTTAACTGTTTTTAATTTGCTTTAGGTTGTGTATTGTTATGTTGTGTTTTGAGGCCTTGGCCTTTGTAAGCCGCATCGAGTCCTTCGGGAGATGCTAGCGGGGTACAAATAAAGATGATGATGATGATAATAATAATAATAATAATAATAATAATAATAATAATAATAGCTCCATCGCTGGGCTTGGCCTCATGTAAGCCACTCCGAGTCCCCTTTGGGAAGGTTGTGGCGGGATATAAATAAAGATTATTATTATTATTATATAAACAGGGTGGCTTTTAGAAGGGCTTTAGTTGTGTTTTCTGGCATTACAAAGAGTTTGTCTAGAAATCCCTTGTGATCCCTTTAAACTCTGTTATTTTACATTTCATGTAAATATATATGTCCAGCACCTTAAAAGGCCAAAAAACCATACTGCAAAAAGGCATCTGTTGATACCAGAAGTGTCTGAAGTCCATAGCGACCACTGTTCTCAAAGTCAGATGGATTACACGTAGTTTACTGTCTCAAACATTCCCCTTTCCCCAGACAAGTCACATTAGCTATTCCTGTCAATAATTCTTAATGTGTTTTCTCCCTTTAGACAAATGAATGGCGGTTGAGTTACATCAATAAGGATTTCTCTGTCTGCTCATCCTATCCACCCATTGTCACTGTTCCTAAGTCAATCGATGATGAGTCTCTCTCGAAAGTTGCCTTGTTTCGCCTTGGGGGACGCTTCCCGGTCCTCAGTTATTACCACAAGAAAAACGGGATGGTATGTTGGGTGGTTGGATTGGGAAGAGGGTTAGCAGATTCATAGAGACAGCATAAACATTAAAGGGTGGATTTTATTCTTCATTGCAGCTCTTGGGTGCTGTAACCAAAAAGGTCCTGCTTCCTGCCTTGGAGGGTTGTGCAGGACAGGATAGCAAAAGAGCATGTTGAGTGAGAGGAGTATGTGCATTGCGTCTTGAAAACACAATTGAAAACCTGAAAATTCAAGAATAATATTCATAGAATACTGCTGGTAGCAATAATATTTATTGTGTTAGAAGGAAATGTTATATCCCCCCTCCTTCCTCAAAAAGGCCGCCTGGTGGTGCAGCAGGTTGAACCGCTGAGCTGCTGAACTTGCTGACTAAGAGGTAGGAGGTTGAAATCTGGGGAGCGAGGTGAGCTCCCACTGTCAGCCCCAGCTTCAACGTAGCCCCAACGTAGCAGTTCAAAAACATGCAAATATAAGTAAATCACTTTGGCGGGAATCCAACAGCGCTCATGTCATGCTGGCCACATGACCTTGGAGGTGTCTATGGACAACGCTGCCTCTTCGGCTTAGAAATGGAGATGAGCATCAACCCCCAGAGTTGGACACAACTAGACTTAATGTCAGGGACACAACAACAACAACAATTTTTATTGATTAGCCAGTTGGCCTTATTAAAAACAAACAGTGCAGACATCGTATAAATCTTTCGCCTTAATGTCAGGGGAAAACCTTTACCTTTACCTTAGGTTGGCAGAAGCTGAGGCTAACAGTAGGAGCTCACCCCAATCCACGAATTTGAACCTCCAACCTTCCGGTCACCAAGTTCAGCAGCTCAGTCGTTTAACCCATTGCAACAAAAATTTGCAACTATACAGTTTAACGGTGCTCCATGCAGTCATGCCGGCCACATGACCTTGGAGGTGTCTACAGACAATGCCGGATCTTTGGCTTAGAAATGGAGATGAGCACCATTCCCTAGAGGTGTCTACAGACAATGCCTAACCTTTACCTTTTATCCCCCAATCTATACACAGTATGTCACCCAAATATCAAAATCACTCAAAATCTCAAGAGTACCATATGTATAAAATCAATTTGAACAACTGAAAATGATGAGACGGCATCAATAGGTGAATAATGTTGAGATTGCAGGAAGTAATCGTACCACTCTGTTCCGCTTTGGTCAGATGTCAGCTGGAATAATCCTGTGTCCAATTTTGGGCACCACAATTCCAGTTTGTCAATACGCCCAGAACTGGATACAAGTTTATGTCCCAGGTGTCTTTCTGCCACCAAATATGCAACCGGAATGTGGCTCTCACTTCTGTTGTCCTTCTAGGTGATGATGCGCAGTAGCCAACCACTTACAGGAACCAATGGGAAGCGGTGCAAAGAAGATGAGAAGCTGATCAATGCCACTTTGAGGGCAGGCAAGCGTGGCTACATCATTGACACACGGGCCCTGAACGTAGCCCAGCAAGCCAGAGCCAAAGGCGGAGGCTTCGAGCAGGAAGTGCATTATCCTCAGTGGCGAAGGATCCACAAGTCCATAGAGAGGTGAGTCATGGAATAATACATGGTCTGACCTCAATCATCTCCTCACCATTCTTAAGCTGTTCCTGTGAGGTCAGGACTGCGTGTTCATGGAATAAGGCGATCCATCGTTGTCCGAGGATGATGGTCCTCCAAGTGTAGTGTCTTCGCGGTGGGTCCGTAGTTGGCTGTGGAACCCTATTCTTGATCCACATGTTCTCCCGCAATGAGGACATCGGTTTCCAGGTGGAAGGCTATTCCGGTCAGGGTTAGCTTGACATGCCTTCCCCTTGGCACGTTTCTCCCTCTTGCCCTCCATTTGTGCGTCTTTGAATTCCGCAGCACTGCTAGTCACAGCTGACCTCCAGTTAGAGCACTTATTGTGTTTGTATTATTTGTTGTTATTGCTTTTATTATTGATGTATTGTGGGCTCTGCCTCATGTAAGCTGCACCGAGTCCCTTGGGAAGTCAGACTTGGCCACGGTGGTCCACGCTCTCGATACATCTAGAATAGACTACTGCAACACACTCTACGTGGGATTGCCTTTGAAGACTGCTCGGAAGCTTCAAATAATCCAACGAGAGGCAGCGAGGTTAATAACTGGGACGGCATACAGGGAGCATACAACTCCTATATTACGCCAGCTCCACTGGCTGCCAGTTTGCTACCGGGCACAATTCAAAGTGCTGGCTTTGGCCTATAAAGCCCTAAACGGCCCCGGCCCAAATTACCTGTCCAAACGCATCTCCCTCTATGTACCATCGCAGAGATTAAGATCCTCCGGGGAGGCCCTGCTTTCCGTCCCACCATTGTCACAGGCGCGATTGGTGGGGACGAGAGACAGGGCCTTCTCGGTGATTGCTCCCCGGCTATGGAACTCCCTTCCTTGTGAGATCAGGTCGGCCCCCTCCCTCATGTCCTTTAAAAGGATGGTAAAAACTTGGCTGTGGGACCAAGCTTTCGGGTCAGGGCAATGAAGCGACAATGGGAAAGATGACAGGGCCAAGCGGATGGCTAGGACGGTTTTAAATTGTGTTATTTTAAATGGTGTATTTTAATATTTAGATAAATGTTTTTAATGTTTATGTATTGTATCCAGGCATTGAATGTTTGCCATGTATATGTTGTGCTCCACTCTGAGTCCCCTTCGGGATGAGAAGGGCAGAATATAAGTGTTTAAAATAAATAAATAATAAATAAATAATAGTGGGGTATAAATAAAGATTATTATTATTATTATTAGGGCTTCCCAGTTCTCAGTGTCTATGTCACAGTTTTTAAGATTGGCTTTAAGCCCATCTTTAAATGTCTTTTCCTGTCCACCAACATTGTTTCCGGTTCTTGAGTTGGGGGTTTAGTAACTGCTTTGGGAGATGGTGATTGGGCATTCGGACAACGTGGCTGGTCCAGTGGAGTTGATGGCGGAGGACCATAACTCCATTGCTGGTGGTCTTTGCTTCTTCCAGCATGCTAACATTTGTCCACCTGTCTTCCCTAGAGCTTTGCAGGATTTTTCAGAGGCAGCACTGATGGAGATGTTCTAGGAGTTGTGTATGATGTCTGTAGACAGTCCATGTTTTGCAGGCATATAGCAGGGTTGGGAGGACATTGGTTTTATAAACAAGCACCTTGGTATCCCTACGGATGTCCTGATCCTCAAACACTCTCTGCTTCATTCAGATAAATGCTGCACTCGCAGAGCTCAGGCAGTGTTGTATTTTAGTGTCAATGTTAACTTTTGTGGAGAGGTGGCTGCTAAGGGAGCGGAAATGTTCAAAATTAATGTTCATTAAGCTGTATTTCTGGCATTGCAGAGGGATTGGCTGGTGCCTGCAAGAGCACTTTGGTTTTCTCAATGTTTAATGGAATAAAGCATCAATACACAGAATAATTGAACATCATGTTCTGTAGGACTATTGGAAATTAGGCTTCCTTTTGGGTAATGCTAGTTAGTGGTGACGTTAAAAGCTAGCTCCATTTGGGGACCTCATATTTATGACTGACATTTCTACCATATGTATGACCAATAATTAATTAGCTTGTGCCAACTTGTGCTTATCTCTAGCTCTTGTCTTGCCAAACTGAGCAGAAATTACTACAATTTTTTCTTTTTCTTTTCTGTCCACGTTCAGGATTCAGATAAGATAGTATTGTGCAGATAAAAGCAAAAGCTAGGCTGTGTGGATCACCTTGTACTTGGAAATGTAAAATCTCTTTTGACTCCATTTCAACAACAACAGTAGCCTTCATTACAATCAAGAGAGACTGGGTGACCTAAAATACATATTTAGTAACAGCACAATAAAAATATATTAAAAAGAATTGCAGTCATACTGTTTGGAATATAAAATCCCATTTGCTAGATATACTATTTATTACAAAAGCACACAGCATGAAAAATAGAATTAAATATTTGTTTGGCCATTCCTTTTAAAAAGGAGAATTTTTTTCATGTCAGGAGTGACTTAAGCAACGTTCAGTCATTGAATTCTTGACAACAGAAGGTGTCACCTCAATATCTTTAAACTTACTCACCCAACAATGCACAGTACTCATATCAACACATCACCATAAACAGCTTGCATTCTCTGATGGATCTCCTTTGGGGTGACACCTTCTGCTGTCAAGAATTCAACAACTTCACGTTGCTTAAGATGCATTGACCGACAGTCTGCGCAGGATTCCATACTTCACACTTTAACAACACAACAGTTCAATACTAAGGCTTCCCGCCAAAATGGAACTGTAGAGGAGAGTCTACTGAACAAGCCAGTACCTGTCACATACCTGTACTGCCATCTGTTGAGGAGTTATGAAAGTGGAGGCATTACTTTTCATTCAACTCTCGCAATTAAAAATTAACTAGATATTTTAATTACAAAAATGTGAGTCAAGCACTGAAAGGATTAAATGGATTCAATGACTCAGGAAAAGCTGCAGTTCAATTTAAGCAGGTGTGCCTGTAGTTTACTATCCTCAGTCTGTGAGAGGTCTCTGTGGGAGAAGGGCCTCAGTGTGTTGGTAGGCCTCAGTATGAGAAGGCCTCAGTATGATAGGCTTCAGTCTGAGGTAGACCTCAGTATGAGAAGGTCTTTGTATGAGAGAAGCCCCAGGTTGAAGGCCATCGTGTGTGAAGCTTCAGTGTCAAGGCTGTCGTGTGTTAAAAGCTACTATATGATCACTCACTTGTGCTTCCTGCAGGTACAACATTCTTCAGGAGAGCCTCATTAAGCTCGTGGAGGCCTGCAATGACCAGTCGCATAACATGGATCGCTGGCTGAGCAAACTAGAGTCGTCTAACTGGTTGACCCACATCAAAGAGATTCTGACCACAGCTTGCTTGGCTGCTCAATGCATTGACAGGTAATGGTCAGTGGTGTGGGTTTTGCAGTGATGTCAAGTACAGGATGTTTTGTGGACCATCTGCCTGAAGCAAAACCCCAAACTGCTTGGCTTCTCACATGTTTGCTGTATATGTGTTGATTTTATTGCTGTATTATGTTGTCCGGGCTTGGCCCCATGTAAGCCGCACCGAGTCCCCATCGGGGAGATGGTGGCGGGGTAGAAATAAACATTATTATTATTATTATTATTATTATTATTATTATTATTATTATTAGGAAACCATGAATGTACAAAGAGGAGATCTGCTAGGTCAAGCTATCTGCAGTTTCATTTTTTGATAGTAAGTCTAGGAATATATCCCTTATGGATATATGGGGATCACATCGTTAGTATATTTTGATAGATTGATATATATACTCGAGTATAAACTGACCCGAATATAAGCCGAGGCACCTAATTTTACCACAGAAAACTGGGGAAATGTATTGACTTGAGTATAAGCAGAGCGTGGGAAATGCAGCAGCTACTGGTAAATTTCAAAATAAAAATAGAGACCAATAAATTACATTAATTGAAGCGTCAGTAAGTTAAAGTGAATATTTACATAAAACTGTGATTTAAGATAACACTGTCCAACTCTGATTACACCATTATTCTAACCTTCTTCAGTGTAAATGTGCTTATGTATCCTTCCAATAGTAATAAAGAGAGTGAAATAATAAGTGTAATAATAATAATAGAGTAAAATAATGGAAATGTAATAATTACAGTAATAATAGAATAAAATAATAAATGTAATAATAACAATAATAGAGTAAAATAATAAGTATAATAACAATAATAAATTAAAATAATACATGTAATAATAATAATAATTACAAAGTAAAGTAATAAACCTTGACTTGAGTTTAAGCAAAGGGGGACTTTTTCAGCCTAAAAAAGGGCTGAAAAAGTAGACTTATACTCAAGTATATACAGTAAATATTAAATGGGAAAAGATACCCAATTCATTACTTTCACTGAGGCTTCTTCCACACAGCTGAATAAAATCCCACAAGTTCTGCATTGAACTGGGATATATGGCAGTGTGGACTTGGAAAACCTAGCAGATATTGTGGGATATTCTGGCTTGATATTCTGGGTTATATGGTTGTGTGGAAAGGCCCTGCGTTCCACAGTGGAATGGAGAGTGGAGACAGATTTTTCCCTGTGCAGTTTCTGTCCAGTGGACATTGCTGCTTGATTCCCATCATGTCACGCCTTTTAATACAGTATATTTCTATATCTCTTTTCCAAGGGAGGGCGCATCAGTCTTAGTCCATGGGACAGAAGGCACCGATTCAACACTGCAAGTGACCTCTCTGGCCCAGATTATCTTGGACCCCAGGTGTCGAACCATCCGTGGTTTTGAGGCTCTCATTGAGAGAGAGTGGCTACAGGTAAGAGCCGCAGGTCATGGTTTGAGCTCATTTCCAATGCTGAAAGAGGCAAAAAGCAATCTTTCTACAGAAATTGTTTTTATATGGATTTTATTATGTCATGTTAAATGTTTTTAATGGTATTTATGACTGTTTGTGGCATTGAATTGTTGCCAATTTTGTAAGCTGCCTTGAGTCGCCTTCGGGCTGAGAAAGGCGGGATAGAAATAATGTAAATAAATAAATAATAAACTCCATGGAAATTAAACAGCTCTTTGATAGATTGCCATTTTCATCTAGAATACATTGATATAGGCTATATATGTGTGTGTGTATATGTATATGATTATTTTCTAAACAGAGGCCTAGTAGCTCCTAAAAAAACAGTGTATTTCTAGTACCGCATTTTCCAACGGATAAGATGACTGGGCGTATAAGATGGCCCCAACTTTTCCAGTTAAAAAATAGAGTTTGGGATATACTCACCGTGTAAGACTACCCCTCTTCCTACACACAGCAAATAATTTTTTTAAAAAACATCAAATTAGATTTCAATATGGTAATTTTCCTATTATCATACCTCCTTCTTTGCCTCTCAGATTTTGCACATACGCACCTGCATCTCTTCACTGCAGTCCTCAGGAACAAGATCTGAGATGCAGAGAAGGAGGTAGGATACAAGGGCAAGGGAGAATGAGGCATGCTTTTCTGGGAAGTGTCCCGCTCTGTCTCTTTTTTCCATACCCCGGACGCCTGCAGTTTGCTCCTCCCTTCACTTACACCTTCCTGGTGAGGCGCCCTCCCCACCTCGTTATCGAGATTGCATTATGTCACATCTTTCCACAAATCTTGGCTAGTGGATTTTCTTCTATCGTACTTGTACAGCGTCGGCCTTGCTGCTTTCATACAGTTGCCGCATATGGCGAGGATATGGCCGTGCCATTTTTGAGCAACATATGCGACGACTGCAGATTCTCCAGTCCAGCTCGGAAGTTTCAGCACCTGCCCTATAAGACGACACCCAGCATATAAAACAACTCTCGACTTTTGAGAAGATTTTACTGGGTTAAAAAGTAGTCTTATATGCCAGAAAATACTGTAAATAAAAATGTCCATGGCATTGATTTAGTGTGAGAACGCTTCCCTTAGCAGTCTTAGGTCCTTTTGCATGATTATGCATTTGCTTTCTGGTGAAACTTGATGATAAAGTCACCCTGGAGGATCTAGAGATTCCCAGAGAGGTATTCTATAAGGTTTTATTAAAATTATATTTTTATTTACATTTCCCCATTTTTGCAGGGAGAAAAAGAGGGGGTAGTTTCTGCACACTTCAAATCCTAAACCCGTAAATCCACTCTCTCTACACAATGCAAATTAAGAGATGCTTGCAGCCATTCTGTGTCCTTAATGCTACAGTTATTTCCCTCCAGCATAATCAAATTTGGAATTAGGCTATTCCCCTTCCCTGCATTTGCTCGGATGGTGATGTAATGTGACATCGCTTTGCAAAACAGTTACTGCAGGGTGAATTTGTGTGTTGGCCCTCCTTTCAGAGGTAACTGTCAGCCCACAACAGTCAGCAAAAAGCTTCATTATAGCTTGTGATGTAACAAACATTGAGAAGCCTGTGAAAAACACATTGGTGGGCATATAATATGTCAAGCCAGAAAGGGAATTGGTAGACATCTTAAGAAACAAGATTGGTAATTGCTCCAGAAACTTAGAAAACTGTTTCGCTTTATGAAATGGGAAGAGTTCACTCTCCAGGGAAGTTTATTCTCCAGGTACCCCACTCTTCCTCCTCCCTCCCCTCCAAAAGAGGCGAAGTCCACACACTTTGAGACCCTTGTGTCTCACTGATATTATTTACAGCCAGCCTTCCACGTTTGCTGGGATTGGGGGCTCAGAAAATTGTGAATAAAAGTTATTTTTTAAACCTGAGAGAACACCTCTCTAGTGATCTTAAACTCCACTATTGTGGATTTACAGATGTCTAGAGAAATGTTGTTTTTCACCTGCTTCTCCTCCAGCTATATCCAACCTTGCCACAGGAGCCGTGGACCCAGTTTCTTCCATAGCGCTTCTCTTAAAAGCAAACTTTGATTCCCATGTGCTGAGCACTATGCTGAGACACAAGCATACCCTGTTGTAGCTTCCCACCATTTCAAAGGCCCTAAGACTGTCTCTGACACTCATTTGAGTTTTGTTTACCATGATATGTAAGGGGTACCACTGTATACAGGCAGTCCCCAAGTTGTGAACAAGATAGGTTCTGTAGATTTGTTCTTATGTTGAATTTGTTTGTAAGTCAGAACAGACACATGTTTTAATATGTATATTAGCCTTGGGCAGCATAGAGGAGGGTTAACAACCCTGTGATGTATTGTCAAAGGCTTTAATGCCGGAATCACTGGGTTGTTGTAAGTTTTTCGGGCTGTATGACCATGTTCTAGAAGCATTCTCTCCTGACCTTTCGCCTGCATCTATAGCAGGCATCCTCAGAGGTTGTGAGATTTCACAATATCTGAGGATGCCTGCCGTAGATGCAGGCGAAACGTCGGGAGATAATGCTTCTAGAACATGGTCATATAGCCTGGAAAGCCTACAACAACCCAATCCTGTGGTGTTTGTTTTGCTGCCTGTGCCCCTGTTCAGAAAATTTTACCTCACTTACAGGCCCTCTGATACTTGGATTTTGAAAAATTTGGCTTGTTTTGGAAACAAGGATTGGAGAGAAAGCTTCGCTAGAGGAACCATTTCCTCATGACAAGTTTTCTAGGACTGGATTTCCCTTCCGAGGGGCAGATTTCTCTAACATTCTGTTGTCTCATCCGTGTTTGTAACTATGTGTCATTTGTAAGTTGGATGTTTGTAATTTGGGGATTGCCTGTATACAGTGGGCACTCTGAATCCCTTGAGGGTTATTTAGTGCCCTCAGAGGATACCAAAATTCATCATTACTCCAGTCCCATTGTATACATGTTACGCAGGCACACACATACACACACACCATTTTATATGCATTTATATACAACACCTAGGGCAGATATTCCAACTGTATATAGACTGCATTGCCTAAATACCCTAAAAGCACCAAATGCTGTGTGATCTTAGAAGCTAAGCAATTTCAGGCTTGATTAATACTTGGAAGGCGAACTGCTAATGCAGTGCTTCTCAACCTTCCTAATGCCGCGACTCCTTTATACAGTTCCTCATGTTGTGGTGACCCCCAATAATAAAATTATTTTGTTGCTACATCATAATTGTAATTTTGCTACTGTTATGAATCGTAATGTTAATATCCGATATGCAGAATGTATTTTCATTCCCAGGTCCAAATTTGACACAATACCCGATATGCCGAAATTTGAATATTGGGGGGTAGGTGGGTGGATCGGTGGGTTATTTTGTCATTTGGGGGTTGTAGTTGCTGGGATTTATAGTTCACCTAAAATCAAAGAGTATTCTGAACTCTGCAAAAGATAGAGTTGATCCAAACTTGGCACACAGAGCTCCCATGACCAAGAGAAAATACTGGAAGGGTTTGGTGGCCATTGACCTTGAGTTTTGGAGTTGTAGTTCACCTATATCCAAAGAACACTGTGGACTCAAACAATGATGGATCTGGATCAAAATTGGCATGAACGCTCAATAATGTGAACATTAGTGGAATTTGGGGAAAAGAGACTTGACATTTGGGAGTTGTAATTCCTGGGATTTATAGTTCGCCTCCAATCAAAGAGCATTCTGAACTCCACCAATGATAAAATTGGACCAAACTTCCCGCACAGAACCCCCATGATCAACAAAAAATACTGTGTTTTCTGATGGTCTTTGGTGACCCCTCTGACATCCCCTCATGACCCCCCAGGGGTCCCGACCCCCAGGCTGACAAACACTGTGCTAATGAATACCAGATGCTGTAGGCCTAATAAAATGCTATTAATATATATGCTGGAAGTTTCTAGTTTTCTCCCACAACAATATTTTGGTTGCTTGTTTCCACTGTGTAACACTTCTCTTTGCTTTTAATTTCTCATTAACTTAACCCTCTAACTCAGATATGGACAAACTTTGACCCTCCAGGTGTTTTTGACTTAAACTCCAACAATTTGGCTGTTAGGAATTGTGGGAGTTGAAGTCCAAAATACCTGGAGGGATGAAGTTTGCCCATGCCTGCTCTAACTTGTTCTCTGCCTTGTCCCTGCAGGCCGGCCACCCGTTCCAGCAGCGCTGCGCTCAGTCCGCTTATTCAAACAGCAAGCAGAAATGGGAGGCGCCCGTCTTCTTGCTCTTCTTGGACTGCGTCTGGCAGATCCTCCGCCAGTTCCCTTGCTCCTTTGAGTTTAACTACCAATTCCTCCTCATGCTCTTTGAACATTCCTACGCCTCCCAGTTCGGCACTTTCCTGGGCAACAACGAAAACGACAGGTAGGCAAGAGTTTTGTTTTGGACTTTTTGTGGACTTGAGCGATGCTGAGCTTAAAACCTTCTGGCTTCCGGATTGAAAAATGGCATTTTGCCCTCCCAAATTTGGGTAGCTCCCAAAAAAAACAGATCGGGGCCAGCTGAAAAAAAGACACCAAAAACGGCAGAGGGTTTACCCAAATCGCACATCCCTATTATCCATGGCTACTTTCAGCCTTCTTTGCTCTAAACTAAACACAACCAGCTACCTAACCCGTTCCTCAGTAAAACCTTTTACTAGTACCATGCCATATACACAGAAGCACCTCTGCATCCAGGTTAAAGGTCAAGCAGAGCCTGATGGCCTTGCTTTGATTATACAGTTCATTATTTCTTTATTTATTTACTATATTTGTATACCGCCCCTCTCAGCCCACAGGTGACTCAGGGCGATTAACAGAGGCAACAATTCAATGCCAACAATGCCAACATTACAAGATAATCACTTGAATATTTCATGCTGAAATGAGTAGGCAGGATCCAAGTAGTACAGTAACGTGAGCAACCTGAGATATATTCTCATAAGGTCTGCCACACTGACCTCCTACCAGGTGTACTGTCCACTCTTTCACACGCACTGTGGGTAGCACTGTCCACTCTTTCACACACACTGCAACACTAATGATATACAGATATACAGATACATGGACATCTCTAGATATCTATACGTATATAGGATTTACAGAGACTTGCAAACAGGTAGTTCTCCTTTATAATATGTCAAGCCAGAAAGGGAATTGGTAGACAACTTAAGAAACAAGTATGGTAAGTGCTCCAGAAACTCAGAAATCTGTTTGGGTTAATGAAATGGGAAAAGTTTGCTGTGCAGAAGCGATTTTTAGCCAAGTCCCATGCAATAGACACACAGGCAAGAGGAAAAGGGAACAGAAAAAAAACTTTACTCTTGTCAGCAGAGGCATAAACTTGCAGTGTTGCATACAAAATCAAACAGTGCAACAATCTTACATAGTTGGGTTGTTGTAGGTTTTTTCGGGTTATATAGCCATGTTCTAGGGACATTTTCTCATGGCCATATAGCCCGAAAGGCTTTGACAAAACTTACATAGTCCTTGTAAGTAACACAGGATAAGGCTTCTTCATCTTCATTCAAATGAGAGAGCAAAACATAAACCTTGAGTAAATAGCTATTCCACCATAGCAAAGAGCATCACTGTTAGAGCATAGCAGCATTACAGCATATTGCTTCTCTTCCTCAGAGTAGCGTATTGCTTCTCCAACCTGTATTCTAAAATCCATACAGTTATACCCCACGGGATGTGGCCCAAACCTGCTGGCTGACCTACATTACCAGCTGCACATAATTAACATCATAAGGTTTTTCTTTTACACACACTTGATCCTGCTACGACTTACTGTAACAGAGTTTACTCTCCAGGGAAGGTACACCGCTCTTTCAAACGTTGCAGGCATTGTTAAGTTTTCTGACCATTAAATCATGGATATGGGAGAATCATCCTTCCAATGCTGAATCTTTTAGCCGTCAATAGTGCTCAAAAAGCTAAACTTCCATGGACCCTGGATTAAGTTCCAAGAAGCAGATAAATAATGTAAAAGAATATATACATTAGTAAATATCAATATACTTTCTAATAGCAAATGTATTTGTACAATGGCTTGAAATCAGAACGACACTACTGTGGTACATTTCCAAAACTTATTAATAAGAGAAACATTAGTACTACAGGTTGAGCATCCTTTAACAGGAATTCTGAAACTTCAGCACAGTCTCTCCACATTTCTGCTTTTGACTTTGACAGGTTGATTAATTGTGGGTTTGATTTAAAATGGCACCTAGATATTTATTCTCTGGCATTTTTCTAGGTCCTCCAGTGCAATGCTATGGCTGGCTTCCAATGGAAGTTGGCCATAGTGTTGGGAATCAGCCTGTTTTTGCATTTCAGGATCCTGATGTGGGAAATGATGAAAGAAATGATGGTGCCAAGGCTGAGGTACAAGATGGAGATGGTTTGGGCAATGGTTTTCATGCAGACAATGACAGAGAGGCCCCAGTGCAAAGGGCAGTTTCTCATGAGAATATCTCTGCTGGGTCCCTCTTTTTGTGAGCTCTCAAGATTTGGGTTTGGAAAACTATCTGACACCTGGGAATTTTAATGAGCAGCCAGATAGGGAGCTGAAGAATAGGCAGCTGGAGATTAGCCAGGATCGACAGCAAACTCAATGTTTACGTCGCTCTGAAAGACATCGTCTGATAAGGGGGAAATGTGGGAGAAAGCAAAACCAATTTCTGAGTTTTGGGATATAAAGTTTGCTGCAAGGGAAAACCTGTTAGACCAGGCATCGTTTGGAAATCAAGTTCATGTGCCATGGAAATCTTGTTCTAAGGGTCTTGTTCCTGTGGAGTTTTTGATTCCTGTCTGGATAATTGCTGTCTTTGATTGCTTTTATATCTTGTGTGGACATTGCTTTGAGTTACTGCCTTTATATGGACTTAATAATTTTTGGAACTTTCTTATTTTCTTACAAGCATTTATTTCTTCTGGCTATTTACTAAGCTTCAATAAAAGAAGATTTGTTTCTTCACTCTTCGTGTGGTGTGTTTTAAAGTCAGAGGGCTTCTTCTTGACCTGGAGTGCAACACATAGAATCATTCTGGAAGACCTAGGAATTCCTAGATAAATGTTCTCCCAAACTAATAAAAACAACAATGTCTGTTTTTTGAGGTTTTTCACTTCCATGGGGTCCTGTGCCCCTAATCCTAGCAAATGTGGAAGGCTAATTGTACTTTAAGATCCGAAATTTTCCACATGAGTGGCTGAGGGAAAGAGACACCTTTGCTTTCTGATGCATCAATGTACATCAAGTTTATTTCATGCACATCATGATCAAATTTATAATGTGAAATTGAAAGATCAGAGAATTTTGTGCTTCGACTTGGGTTCCCTCTCCAGGATAGCTTATTATCTGCTTAAATGCTAATGCGTAATGGTATTCCAAAATCCAAAGAAACCCAAAAGGCTTGTAGTCTCAAAGTGAGGGTCAGTATCCATTATCCAAAAAGCTTGGGATCAGAAGTAGTTCATTTCAGTGTGGGGTTTATGGGGGGCGGGATTTTTGAATTTTGTGTTTACATCCATAAGAAGATACTTTGGAGATGATAGCTTTTGCCTATCTTACTGTACATGCACATGCAAACACAGGCATTTCAAAATCCTAAAAAATAAATCTAGAATCTAAGCAGTTATGGTATTATACCATGTATTGTAGGCATTCATGCCACTGCTGATCTTTCTTCCAGGTGTAAACTCAAGCTGCCACAGAAGACGATGTCCCTGTGGTCCTGGGTGAATCGGCCAGAAGAGCTCAGCCGGTTCAAGAACCCCCTCTTTGAGGCCAACAGCCTTGTCATCTGGCCTTCAGTGGCCCCCCAGAGTCTGCAGCTCTGGGAAGGTAAGTTGGCCCTTGGGCAGCTCTGTGGCTTCAAGATACTCTTTTGGATTTACAGCCCTTCTCCAGAAGGTGGTAGTAGTGAGCAGTATTTTATGAAAGCCTTGGGAAAGTCTGCCAGGTGTATTCTTCCCAGGAAAAAAAGAACAAACTTGGTTACTTGCGCACTCTTAAGTCAGACATGCCTTAAGAGTGCGCAAAGTGCACCTTTAATTTTGGAAAATAGCATTCATAACCATTTGGAGATCATAACCTTTTGGAAAAGCATGACCTTTCAAAGAAGAGCCAAAAACCTGTTTGAGTAGAATCTTCTCAAGTGGTATACAACCAAACATGTCTTCAGTTGTTAGACTGAACCTATTGTCTCTGATCTGCTAGCAAAACAGAGATTTGCCAGAGCATAAAACCAACAGTTTCAGAAGTGTTTTTCTGTGCCCAAAAATATATCCACTGTTCCATAAAAACAACATGTTTTATATCATGTACTCAAGAGACAAAAGGGAAGTAGGCTTTGGTAACATAACATATTTGGTTTACTCACATGTATTCAGCATACTACAGGTACACATTCTTATGTATCAGCACAAACACAAAACAATCTATGCATAATGTCAAAGTGTATTCTCAAAAGAGCATATAGTATTCCATTTACCAAAATCCCCAGTACATAGCTCAATTCAGTGGTACACAGAAATCATAAGGAGCAGCCACTCTCAAACGTAACAGTTCTAGGTCTGGATAAGGATTACACTGTATATAGGCTTCAGGGATACATTCAATAAGAAAAGTCATATAAACAAAGTAAGCATAGAGTCATGAGGCTATATGTAAACTGAAGACAATAATGAAGATGAAGCGCCACTCTCAAAACAATCTTCATGGAAAAAAATCCAACTCAAGTCCAGTGAATATGGAGCACTGCTTCTCAAAATAAGTCTTCAAAGGAAAAGTCCAAATGACATTCAACAGGGGTGCCTGGGTATTTTTATACCCTGTTTCAGGGAAAGCAATCCCCTTCCTCAGTAATTTGGACGCAAACTAGGTAGATGTATTGAAAGAGGTGTTGTCCATTGGTGTGGTTTGATAAAATTGGGTTTCCAAATATGGGGTCCAGATTCTCCCTAACTTCTGATGGTATAAGTTTGTGCGCAAGCTGTGCCCGTACCTTGGGAAGTCTGACTTGGCCACGGTGGTCCACGCTCTGGTTACATCCCGAATAGATTACTGCAACGCACTCTACGTGGGGTTGCCTTTGAAGACTGTTCAGAGACTCCAACTAGTCCAATGGGCAGCAGCCAGATTACTCACCAGAGCGCCATACAGGGAGCACACCACCCCCCTGTTATGTCAGCTCCACTGGCTGCCGGTCTATCTCCGAGCACAATTCAAAGTGCTGGCATTGGCCTATAAAGCCCTATACAGCTCTGACCCAGCTTACTTATCTGAACATTTCCACCTTGTAATTTAAGATCTACTGGGGAGGCTCTGCTCTCAGTCCAATCAGCTTCGCAAACACGCCTGGTGGGGACGAGGGACAGGGCCTTCTCAGTGGTGGCCCCCTGCTTGTGAAAAAACTAAAAGCATGGTTTTGGAGCCAGGCCTTTGGCTAAGTGGGCACAGCAGCACTTTAAATACAGAACCCGGACCACAATTGGAAAGGGCTATGTGATTTCGTGATTTTGTGACTATGTGATTTGTGACTATGTGATTTTTATTAATGTTACTGTTTTTAATCTGCTATGTATTATGATTTTATATTGTGTTACTGATATAGTGGCATCGAATTGCTGCCTGTGTTAGCTGCCCTGAGTCCCCCCTCGGGGGTGAGAAGGGCGGGGTAGAAATGGTGTAAATAATAATAAATATGGGTTGTTGTAGGTTTTTCCGGGCTATATGGCCATGTTCTGGAGGCAATTTTTCTCCTGACGTTTCGCCTGCATCTATGGCAAGCATCCTCAGAGGTAGTGAGGTCTGATGGAAGTAGCTCTACCTCTACCTCTGAGGACGCTCACCATAGATGCAGGCGAAACGTCAGGAGAAAAATTGCCTCCAGAACATAGCCATATAGCCCGGAAAAACCTACAACAACCCAGTGATTCCAGCCATGAAAGCCTTCGACAATACAATAATAAATATATTTTCACCTACATTCTCTACTGCCCTAGGAGTGTTCCTCCGCTGGAATCGGTCCTCCAAGTTTCTGGACGAATCCTACGAAGAAATGATCAACATCATCAAGTACAACAAGGAACTCCAAGTGAAAGTCAACATGCTGAGGAGGCAGCTGGCCGAACTGGAGACGGACGACAGCACGCAGGACGATGGGATATCTGAGAGTCCCTGAGGTCTTCATCTCATTCCAGCTCAGTTGGGCAAGTGGTCTCCAAACGCATTTGAGCACTAAACACCCACCAGATCTGCATGCGCTCAAGCTCCTTCTTTGGTGCAGTTGAGTTGAACTTTTTCCCCCTTTTGTTTTTTGGCTTCACTGTTCCTCACTTGGCACTGTAATCACACCCTCCGTTTAGGATGGGAATGCGTGGTTTCCTTTATTTTTTGTTCGTGTTGTTTACAGGAGCAAACTCTTGATTTAATCCAAGCCACTGCCTTATTCCGGCAGCATTTCTCATCTCTAATAAACTGTGCACCTGTGACTGTTGTGGCTTTGAACCATGACGGAGCCCCTCTTCTGTGCTATTTTGGATTTGACTTGGGAGACTGTGGACTCGGCAAATGCTTTCAAGGTTGGTGCGACTCCTCAGAAATGAGCAGAAGAAATGTATGTTCTCCTTCCGAATCCCCTACTTTTTCTTCCTTCCTGGGTTAGGCAGAATATTTTGGCATTATTTGGGCCTTCAGTCAAAACACCCTTATTTAGCACCCTGGCATGCAGAGAGGAAAGGTGGCAAGAGTCCTTCCAAAACACCACGCCCCATATTACACTACACAGTCTCATTGATTCCTACATTGGGGCTTATTTCACATGTCTGAATGCACTCCAGAGCAAAGCTTCCAAGGTCTGCATGTTGGAAAAACACAACCTATATTTGTATGTCTGAATGGAGACACTTGTTGCTTTTAAGAACAGTGTATAGAAAGCTTAGAGAACTGTTTTACTGTGGAAGAAGCATCCAAAGATGATGATAATAATAATAAAACCCTATTTATACCCTGCCACCATCTCCCCAAGGGGACTCTGGGCAGCTTACATGAGGCCATGCCCATCAATACAGTAAAACAATGTAAGACAACAACACAATATAAAATAAGAAAAGAAAATAACATAAGATGCAAAAACCAATATAAATAAACAACACTACAGAATAAAATCAGAACATTAAACACTGAAATAATCACAGTGGGCAGGTCCAATGCAAAGATTAAAATTAAAAAATAAAATAAAACACTAGGTGATAGGATAATGTAATGTATCAGGACGGGGAATCTGGGGGATAAGGTAGGATTTAATTGCACAGACTGGAAAATAAAGTGCTTCTGAGGACATTTTAAGCTGAATTTAGTCAGGAATTGTCGTACATTCAATCAATGACGGCACACTGGAACAGCCAAGTTTTCAGGCTCCTCCTAAAGCAGTGGTTCTCAACCTGGGGTCCCCAGATGTTTTTGGCCTACAACTCCCAGAAGTCCCATCCAGTTTACCAGCTGTTAGGATTTCTTGGAGTTGAAGGCCAAAAACATCTGGGGACCCCAGGTTGAGAACCACTGTCCTAAAGACTGGTTCAGAGTAAAAGAAGGCTGTGATTCCTCACCTCCAGACAGGTCTGAATTGTCTCGCATGTGCACAAGCATCCTGTGGTTGTCTATGCTAAACTTGAATGCCCTATGCCTTGTGTGGGGCATGAGTTAGACAGGAAATAGTGGTAATTTTGGCTGGCAAGGAATGCACACAACAGTACGGAGCTTATAAGCATGCTAGGAAATCTAAGTAGACCTGTTTAGTTGGTGGTGGCTTTCAAGACCATCAAATGACTTAACTTTTCTTCAAAGACTCAGCACGGGTGGCCATGAATTCTAGTTCTCAAGGCTGAATGTGGGCCACTTTGGTCCTTGATAAACACCACCTTTTTGCTGTCTCCTTGAGTCTGTGGAACAGACCAGCAAGGCTGCATCTCAGGTTTGCATGGATCAGGTCACAAATGAGATTGATTCTGCTTAGAGCAGTGGTTCTCAGTCCGGGGTCCCCAGATGTTTTTGGCCTTCAACTCCCAGAAATCCTAACAGTTGGTAAACTGGCTGGGATTTCTGGGAGTTGTGGGACAAAAACATCTGGGGACCCCAGGTTGAGAACCACTGACTTAGAGATCGATCTCCCTTGATCCTGTGCAGTGGCTCTCAACCTGTGGGTCCCCAGATGGTTCCCAGAAATCCTAACAGCTGGTAAACTGGTTGGGATTTCCATGGAGTTGTAGACCAAAACATCTGGGCACCCACAAGTTGGGAACCACTGGACTAAGGCCTGCTTGTGGAACAGTTGAGAGGTCTCTGAGTCAAGGTAGTACAACGCCATATAGAAAAGGGATGGCAATTGGACTACAGTTTTTAGAATCTGTGATCCCGCAGTGGGCATTTTGGCCCAAACAGGGAACCTTTCCAAGCTCCAGTATACACACATCCCCACCTGCTCACAGATAACTAATGTTATCAGCTGCTTCTTGTGTAACCTTGGGGTGAATTCGAGCCCTTCGCAGAAGATGGCTGTCCTTGCTCTGCCATTTGGTTATTTTCGTGGCATCGCTAGTCACTTCAGATTTGAATCAGATTGGATTTCATCTCGTCTACTTTTCAGGGGACTAACCCAGTCTGTATTACTAATATTAGGTAGGAGAAGAAATTGCCTCTTTAGCTCTCCCTTAATGTTTCCAGAGGGAAAAGTGAAACTTCAAGGAAAAGGAACAGAGGGTAGAATTGGGGACAGATTGATTTTTGTCTGGTTTGAGATCTTTTTCTCTCATCTTGCCTCATTCTTGGTTACATTGCAATTCACCTTAAGCCTTTAGACCAGAGTGCAAAAACATACACATACACATACACACACACACACACACACACACACACATATATATATATATATAATTATTATTAGGCAACGTGTTGTAAGACTCGCAGCAAACAAGGCATGCCAGTGGTAATTCTCAGGCATTCTGAGAATTGTAGTCCTTTTTTAAAATAATTAAAAATACTCAACTGCTTTAGACACAGCCAGATTCTCCTCCTCTTGACACCCATCATTTCCCATATATTGGATAAAGGGACTTCTTCTCCTGCCAAAATGTCGCCTTTTGTTGAGTCAGGATAGATATTTCCAGTCTTGAAAAGGCTGGCTTTTAAGATTCACAATTTTGATTGCACTGTTTTAAAAAAAGGAAACGCTAATCTTTTGGTGCTTTTTTATTTTTGGTTAAAGGGGTTTGTAAATATCATGCTGTATTTATTTATTTCGTATTATCATTTGCGTAGTTTAGAAATTGTTCAGAAAGTTGATCAAACAAATTTCAGTTGGGAGAGGTTTGGAGAGTTCCCTTAAAGGCCAAAGATTTGGGGTGGAATAACAAAACAAGTGCATTCCCAGAGCTTGGAAAACTACAAATCCCAGAAACCACCTGGTTATTGGCCATCCCCCGCTCGTTATAGTCCCCTCGAAATGCCTGTTTTCTCTGTATTGTCAAAGGCTTTCATGGCCGGAATCACTGGGTTGTTGCGAGTTTTTTTGGGCTGTATGGCATGTTCCAGGAACATTCTCTCCTGACATTTCGCCTACATCTATGGCAGGCATCCTCAGAGGTTGTGAGGCTATAGATCAGTGGTTCTCAACCTGTGGGTCCCCAGATGTTTTTGGCCTTCAACTCCCAGAAATCCTAAACTGGCTGGGAATTCTGGGAGTTGTAGGTCAAAAACATCTGGGGACCCCAGGTTGAGAACTACTGCTATAGATGTAGGCAAAACATCAGGAGAGAATGCTTCTGGAACATGGCTATGCAGCCTGAAAAAACTTACAACAACCCACTGTTTTCTCCAGCTCTAATTTCTACACTGCAGAGCAGTGGTTCTCAACCTGTGGGTCCCCAGGTGTTTTGGCCTACACCTCCCAGAAATCCCAGCCAGTTTACCAGCTGTTGGGATTTCTGGGAGTTGAAGGCCAAAAACATCTGGGGACCCCAGGTTGGGAACCACTGCTACAGAGGATTCTCGGAACTGGGGTTAATGGGATTTAGCAGGGAGTTCTTCATCATAGGACTAACCTCAACAATTGGTTGAGGTGCTGAGGTGCCGTGGTGCCGTGATCAAACTGGGTCTATAAACTTGTAGGATTCTGGGACCTGTAGTGCAAAGAAACTCAAACATTTAGTATAGTAGCATCTGGAGCACCAAACTCTTGTAGTTTTAGTCCATTGCTGGATTGTCTTGCAGAGGAAAACTAGGTCTATAAACTTGTAGGATTCTGGGACCTGTAGTGCAAAGAAACATTTAGTATAGTAGCATCTGGATCACAAAACTCTTGTAGTTTTAGTATATTGCTGGATTGTCTTGCAGAGGAATGTAAGGCCACGATTTGGCTCCCCAAAGGCAGTTCTCCTTTATCAGATTACCTTCTGCTTTCTCCTTGTGAACAACAGACCTTTTTGATTGTATTTGGCTTATTTTCCACCCCTGATCCTGTCCACGCCATGCTGTTTTCAATATGCTGGTCCTGCATCTCAGCAGCCTATAAATCACACCCTTCCAGCCCCACAAGCGTCAACAGAGGTGGCCGAAAATAACACACATTTGCAAATGCAAAACCTGAGATTTGGAAAATAGGAGAAGGACAACTTGATTGTATCGGGGACTGAAATATTTACTTGAATGTGGCAATCTGTTTTCTAAGTGCACTACTGTCTGTGTCGCCTCCATTTCCAATGTTTAATGGGCAAATTTGATGTCTTGGTGGTATTCAAACTTCACAGAAGAAGAAGAAGAGTAAACCTGCAATGCTTGTTTTTAATTTTGAAAGGACAATTGTTATACGAGCCGATCTCTCTGTGTGGCATCCTTTATAAACGAGTGTGGCACCCTGCGTCCGGATGGGAAGGGGCTCAAAGCGTATTCATCTGTGTTAGAAATGCTACGGTTAAAAAAAAAATCCATGTGAACTTTGCTTTTAGATTTGCGAGTGTAGCATAAACAATCTCAATTAAAACCTCGAAAGACTGGCATTTGTTTGACTTGGATCATTTCAGCTAGCCTTTCCGCTGAATTTATTCTGTGGACAGAATGGGTGATTCCTTTTGATCCTTCCAATTGTTCTGGCTAAACCAGTATTTCCAAACTCATGGCGATTCACCTCCTCCCAAAAAGACAGCCAATTACTGGATTAAATATAATTTCTTATCCACCACTTCCTTTGGATCAAAGAGGGACCAACAACACACGTAACGTCAGTTGAAAGCACATAAAACAGCTGAAGCTCGTAAAATAGTTATAAACACATATCATCACCAAATGTTTGCAGTTAATTACCTTGATTATCATAGAATCCTAGAGTTGGAAGACACCTCATGGGCCATCCAGTCCAACCCCCTGCCAAGAAGCAGGAATATTGCATTAAAAGCTCTCCTGACAGATGGCCATCCAGCCTCCGTTTAAAAGCCTCCAA